CGGGGCTGAAATTTTGGGGACTTAATCTACATGCACGTACGGGCCCCAATCCCCAAAACTGGCGCCGTCCCCGCGTGGTACACGCGTACGGGCTCCCCAAAGCTTTTTCCGAGTAAGTTCATAACTCGGGGATCTGAAAAGCTAGAATTTAAGGGATTGTTCCCCGTCCAAGTAGGTACTAATGAGCTCAAATCCAGCCCCCGGGTAAGCGTGTTACCCGCGTACGGGCCCCACCAAAACTTTTCCCGCGCAGATTCATAACTCCGGGTTCTGAGATGCTAGAAAGCTGAAACTTTAGGGTAATGTTCTCCGTCCAAGCAGGTGCTAATGAGCTCAAATCCAGCCCCCGGGTAAGCGTGATACCCGCGTGTGAGCCTGTCAAAATTTTTTCGGGTAAGTCCATAACTCCGGGATCATGTGAAGTAGAGAGCTGAAATCTTAGGGGGTGTTCCCTGTCCAAGTGGGTATTAACGAGTTCAAACCCTGCCCGGGGGTAAGCGTGGTACCTACGTACAGGCCCGTGAAGGTTCCTTCCGGGTAAGCTACTTAGTCGAGAACGTGAGAAGCTAGAAGACTGGAATTTTGAAGGGATGTTTCTTGACAGTTCTGGCGAACAATCTGAAATTCTTTCAACTAGAAGCGTCTGTCGAAAAAACTGATGTCGGTAGCGGCAAAAACTGCGGGGAACTTTGCAAAAAATGCATCTTCGCACGGGCAGCCCGTACGTTGGCCAATTATTTTTACTGTGAAAGAAGCGAAATCTGCGCCCTACTGAAGTTGAGTTCATAGACCAAATCAAATTGGTAGTAGTGCTAGCAGTTTACATCAGACTTATCTATCTAACCGTTTCATAGCCAGCGCAAAAACGCACAATCGTACAGCAGCGTCGATGCGCAATATTTGTCGTGATGGTCTCAATAAGTTTCAGTGTATGCAAGTGATATCACTATTTTTTGCAAAATGCTGTATGCTTCTGCAGATTGGAGATGCGTTAAGCTGTTTACCGCAATCCTTTTGTTTCC